CAGCATCTGCCAGCTTCTGGACAATGCTTGAGGAAAGATTGAGCTTTCCATCAAACGTCAGGATGGTGGCTTTACGTCGTTCTAAGAAGATGGCTTCATCGAAGGCCTCATTCGCCGATACACATTTACCATGATTGACCACTTGTTCACCATTGATTTGCAGAGGACCTGTGAAAAGAATTTTCCTGAGGGCTTTGACGTCTTCCAGAGCGTCATGAGCTTCAAACTTAGCAGAAAACAGGGTTTCGTAAACGTCACTCAATTTGTTTGTCGCTGATTTCAGAGGGCTGTTAGGCTGTCTTCGGAGGGCCTTCAGTAAGGGTAAACTATCAGCAAATAGCACTTTCATTTTGGTCAAAGTACACGTAAAGGTCGGGCCTGCACTAAGGAGAAGTCTTGGCGTGTCAAAAACAGAAGCATTGTGACCTAAGAGGACCAAGTAATCGACGGAATTTGAAGCACAAACATCTAAAAATTGCAGGAATGATTGAAGGCAGGTTTGTAAGGGGTTGGCTGGGACTGGCTTTCCAGATTTGCATAAAATTCTTTGATCCCCAGAAAACCTTATAGTAATATTATGAACAGCAGTTGCAGAACTGGATATGGAGCGTGCAGGAAGAATATATTCTGAGAATGATTGATCTCCATCATCAGTAATGGCTGAAAGTTGGAGAAGTTCAGTCCTTTTTGTTGTTGAACTTGTTTCAGTATCAAACAAGATGAATTTGTTGGTTTTCTGGGGATCAAAGAGTATTTCTTTTAATAGAGGCCTGACGTCAGAAGGAGGTATCAGTTGTTCATATTCCTTTAGTTCAGTTTTGCAAGTGTTCTTGTTTACTTTCTGCAGAATTTTGTAGTCATGGGTGTGTCCACAAACCTTGGGGTCAAAGTTAAGGCCAATGTCATGTTTGTAGCTCAGTCCTTCCCTGTTTTCATTCCTGACAGTCGATTGAAATCTGTTTAAGTGAAGCTGCCTTCTCCTAACATTGAACTTTTTGGTAGATTTTCTTTGTTTGGTAGCTGTTGCTATCTTATCTTGGGTTTCTTGGTAGCTTGTGCAGTTGGGCCCAGGGTTTATTCCAGTTTTAATTAATGCTTTGCACATAAATTTGTGGCCTTCGTTGTGCTGAGCGACTCCACAGGCTGTTCTAAAATCACTACTCTCACTTCCTCCGTAGTGTCTGACTTTCAGGTTTTTGGAGCCAATGGTTCCATTTAGAGACTCATTTCGCTGCGAGTCCAGGCAGGGGGCTAATTTTGTGACAACTGTTGGGGAGGCGTACTCTGAGAAAAGATCATGCAATGCTTGTTGAAGGTTGCTCCCATGCAAATCCTTCCCATAGGGTAATTCATGGTGGATATATTCTGTTGGGTTTTGTTTATATCTACTCCATGAGGGATTGCAGTTTTTGTGGTCACCAAAGGCATGTGGTACAATCCATTGAATTGCTATGGCAAGTTCTGCACGTTGGTTTTTGTGTTGGTGAACGCCGTAGGAAAAGCACTTGACTAGATAATTAACCACTTTTTGTGGGAGAACAGATGAATCTGGAAATTTTTGACGCTGGCTTAAGTTGTAGAGCCTGGTATTAAGTGACCGTTTAGTGTGGATGAAATCAGAAATTTTTTCAAGGCCATAGGGAACATTTGTTTTGAGGTAGGAAAAAGTTGTGGAATCATCATCACCAATGTACTGGTCATACTTAATCCCTCTTGCTGCAGCACGTTGAAATAGTTGACAGGCTACACTTGACTCCATAATCTTTGCAGATCCAGTATGGTTCTTTCGGCAGTCATGTGCTGTAGGCTTATCTGGTTTTCTGGATGCAGCACAGGTTCTGCAGGTTTTATTTCTGGTGGCAAAATCCAAGACTTTCCCAGTTTTAACTCCAAGTACTGCCCCATGACCTGTTGATGAATTATGGGCCTTTCCCCTTTTCTGCCACCCCATGTCATATGAGCACATCACTCCAACTAAATTCTCAGAATCGCATTTAGTACCAGCTGCTATTGCCATCTCCCTTTCCTTGCAGCAATTCTCAAGACAACTCTCACTCGCTATACTTTCAACTGCTTTTCCAATCTCTCATTCTCTGCCCTTGAATGTTACATGGTTAACTCTTCGAATATGTAAACAGGACAAAAGTGAATTTACATGTGTATGGCCTATGCCAGCATTCAAAGCTCCAAGAGCAAGCCTGGTGTTCACATCATGTGCCAATGGTCCCCGTTTTCCATTTCTGTGTTGCATTGATGTCAACAGAGAATTTGAACAACCACAGTGGTGACATTTAATAACAAAGAGGCTGGCCACTCCCTTCCTAATTTCTCTCAAAAGGTTTTTCCATGTAAGTGGACCTTGAGAAAATACAAAAGCAAATTATAAGAGGCACTGAATGAGTGATTCATTGTGTCAACATTAACCCCTCTGGAACAAATAATTGTGTAAATTTGGGTTAATGGTGCAATATTGCTAAGGAATGTATGCTTCAGTTGTAATTTTTACCAGGTTTTTGGCTTGATACTATTTATTGTCACTGTCATAGCCATGAACTTCCATCATCCGTTTAATATGGGAAAAAAATAAATTTACAATCCTTTCCTAACCATTGCGAGGTGGCTTTCACTTCCTAGTTGTAATTTGTAGTTTATCTTCGGAAATAAAAACAATGTTTTTTTTCACAAGTTTAGGATAAATATCTTATTTTAATTATACCGTCTGTGGTTTAATAAAAATAAGGTCTCATTCACGTTTTTTTCGATCTTTGGTTGCATGAAAAATACGTTTACCTTTATGACAATATTTACACTCCTCCATTTCCTTCATAAAACTGTCCATATTCACTATCCTGGATCCGGMAACAATTATTTCATTTTCCTTTTCCTCTTCCTGAGCGTAGTTTAGGAATGTTCTTGGTTATTTAATTTTATTTTAATAGGAGTTAAACTCAATAAGAAACAAATCTCAACATTTGGAAGTGCCCTCTTAAATTTTTCACTTCATAAGTAGGACTTACCAAGCGCAGTCGTCGCGTCTTTGATGGTGCGCTGTCAACTTCGCAATCCTCTTTCAGCTCTTTAGATAAATGTTTTCGACCCGTTTTGGCAAGAGCCCTGCCGCCCAAACTTCTTCCTACTCGCTTCTGAGAGGTAAACTTTCCATTTTTGTTTCTTAAAAAATTACTTTCATGAGAAACAGTCGAGGTACCCGGTAATTTTGGTACGCTCGTCGCGGCCATGTTTGTTTACAACTCGCCTGCAGATGCGATCGCGCGCGCCATCGCTTATTTCTCTCGCGAGTAATTTGCTTGCGTGTATCTTCGAATCCATTCTCCGCGCGGTCAAAAAAACCCTTTCGAGCCTCCTTAACTGTGATTACTCAGCAAGACGAGCGAAGCTTGGGAAAGAGACGGGAAGTCTAAGCGTTGCGGCCAGTAACGTTATGACTTCCTCCGCCATTTTTGTCACATTTCTCTTTGGACTCTCTTAAAAAACATTGAAGTAAAGTTGTCTTTTTACAAGTAAACCGTTGATAAAGCACATAGCGAGGTGGAGACTCTTTTGACATTTGAATCGTTTGAGACGATGAGTCCGTACCTCCACTAACAGCAAAGATGCAAATAATTGCACGTGTCACGGGCAGGCAGACACAACATTTGAAGACTTGAGTCGCGGCAAACCGCAAAGTGCATACAGTATAAAATTTGAAAACAGTTTGAAAGAAAATGTTCCATACTGTCTCTAGAGAAAGTTTTCAACCTTTCTGTAGAAAAGGAAAAAAGACTTAACTCCCTAACTATACCTGTAGAGCACATGGCATAAATACAAAAGCTGGAGAAAATTAGCATAAGTGAGTTTTGAGAGCCGTTCACAAAAGATAATTCGAGACAAAGGTGATATTGTTGGCTCCGAAGGGTGTTGTGATTACTTTGCAGGTGATTAAGTGCAAATGTCATTTACATATTCCTCTTATTTCCCATTCGGAATTTGAAGAACCTTGTTGTAAGCAGCGACGCTCTAGCTTGCGTGACAGGGAAGCACACAAAGTAACGGATCACGTTTTTATGGATCTTGACGACACGATATAAGATCATATACAAGCCTAATTACTGATCGAGCTATAGAACAAGCATAATTTACATTCAACATAGACTATAAACAACCCGAAAACTCTCTAAGTAAGCTTTTATAATCGTTCCACTTTCGCTAAATTCGCCTTGCAACAGGTCAATGGCCATATTCGGCTTTTGAAAATGTTGCCATGGAAACGTACTTCCAAAAGACCAACCAGAAGACGTCCAACAGAGCTAATCTACGTGTCGCTAAGATTCTGGGAGTGCCTTGATCAGTCGACACTCCACGGGAACTGTATTCTTGGTACGCAAGTGCAGTGCTGTGATTAAACATGGCGGTAAACTCCGAAGATTCCAGCCACGATCTGTACGCGGTTCAACTTTACGACCCAGAGTACCTGAGGCCGCGCACGACGGAGGAGCATGGCTTACATCTGCCTGAGAAGAACACGTTTACAATCCACGTCGATCCAAACATGTTAGACGACAATAAAGAATATTCAGTGCCCAAACGCCTGGAACACCTCGAGCAACGCCTACACGGAGGCAAACGCAGGGAAAAGCGAGGAACCTTCCGCAAGGAAAATTTACTGCTCGTCGACTTGGAGAGAACCAACGCGCTCAGTGAGTTGATCACAGGAGAGATACCCGTATTTGCTCTAAAAACTTACAAAGAAGAAGGCGAGAAACGCTACATGGAATTCTCACTGACCAAGAATGCTTCAGACAATTTGAGGCAAAATGATCAACAAAGGAGGTTGGAAGTGGCCATGAAAATCGCATTCGCCAACTACCTACACTGGAGCCGTGTCTACGAGGAAATCGAAAGCAAAACCGAGAAATCCGCGCTGGAGATCGAACGACAAGAAGATTTGGAGGAGTACCTTCGCAATCCGCTCGAGTGCAAGGGCATTGTTTACTGCTACCTCGTGATTGATGAATCACAAACGGCGGATAAAAAATACCAGTTCTACATCGGCAAAGCTGAGGGAGAATTCACTAAGAAGATCAAGGAACATAACACGTCCGGTAACAAGCCGCTATTGGAACTGTCATTGCAAGACAAGGCGCTTTGGCCGCCAGAAGATCAACACCTAAAACGAAAATTTAAAGAATCGTTGCCGAAATCGCCCAAGAAAGACGCAAAGAAAAGCGATGACATCCACGTACCTAAGATTGACTATGAGCCAAAAGTTGTGGTGATCACTTTGGACTTTGGCTACACGGAGAAACTTGCCGAACGATTCAAGAGCTCGATCGACGCGGAGGACACAACCGAAAAGCTTGCCCAGAGTTACGCGCAATACTTTGCTGCCAAGAGCCCCATTGGACTAAACGGCTGACATTACAGCTTTTGAACATGTGATTACCAGTAGTAGTAAGTTAAATTAAATAATGCACCAGGATTTTTTTGTAATTACTGCTTTAGGACAATACGGCAAGACCGTAAGTACTACGTATAGTACAGGCTTCGTGATAAGATGTTAGCACCAAGACGGAAAAAAAAGTCAGGGATGAGATTTGATCTAGATTTGTTATGAATCTGGTACGATTTTGCCCAGATGTGATGTGATGTATGTAGCATCTATGGGATAACACGAGCTCTTGGTATTCAAGAAGGCGTTATCACACACATCTGGAGCATTCGATTCATTCCGAACGTTTCTTCAAGACTTAATTGTCCGCAAGAACCTAAACAACATTACTGGTGCTAACTGACTGTATGTTTTCAAAAAGCAGTGGATTGATAATGAATTAAACGACTGCGGCAAAGACATTTTCAAACCGCAAGGTGGAAGTGGTAGAGTTCTCACGAAAGTTACAGATCTTTTTGAAGGCAATACAAAAATGTTTTAAAAATTCAAATGTTCTTGGATGTTTACAATCGTTTCGGCCTCCATTGAAAGAGACAGCATTTTCTCGAATAAACTTTTACCACGGCATAATCAATATAAGCCCCGCTAGTATGTGCACATTTAAATTAATAAAACTATCTAGGTAAATAATATCGAGACGTGAAAAGACTTAGGTTTGGTGAGGATATTCTATTCAGTGCGTGACAAAGGAAATCGTATCTGTCTCCACTTTAATCGTTTAGTGTTCGAGTGTTGTGTCAAGAAACGCTATCTGCCATCGCTTCTTGTTATTCATGTAAATTAGTTGAAGGGAGAAACAATTCGTCTCGACATCAAAAGACTGGGTGTTTTTTTTTTTTTTTTTAAGTTGAATTTTATGGAAAGCAAATTAAAGAAACGACTCTTTACAAAGAAGGATGTAAAGATGTAGATGAAAGAATGGTTTGTTCTTACTGCAGCAGTTCGGATAAAATATAAAAGCCACATGTGTATAAATGATATTCTTAAGGTTTCGCATTGATTCAATAGCCCCTAATTGCATATTCTCGTGACTAAATGTTCCAGGGCAATATTTTGTAACCTTTTTATCATCATCAAACAAGCAGTGAAATTGGAATCGGTAGATCAGATTACTGTAATACCTGGTAACGCTTGAATGATGCGCTTATCTGTTTAACACCCCATTTTAGGGCTCTATTCCTCGATAAGTTTTCAAGTGGACCACAGAAGTCCACCGAGACGGTGCCGCGATGAAAATGCAAATTTACAGCCGCGAAATGTAAACAAGCAACACGCCCCCATTGTTGAAGCTGCATTTGAAAATTTAATCCTTTTTATTCCTAATCACTGTTTTGATTCTACCGAGTTGATCTGCATAGAGACTGATATCACACAAGTCTTCCATGATTCACAAAATGTCTCTAACAACGAGTATACCCTTCGAGTGTACCCTTGGCAAACCAAAGCAGAGCTTTCGCCAAAACAAACAACTGGGAAAATCCTAAAATAAACAAATTTACGGTTTATGTGTTTTAAACCCTATTCTCGATTTGTGTTCTCTACTAATGAAATGACTGTGGGACGTGAAGCAAACTAATCTTATTAATTCATTGGTGAAGAAAATTCGAGAAATAATAAGATAGATTCGATAACTGGTGGTTTTTGCCACAATAGCTATTAATGCGACAAACACAATTAATTCTATACTCACAGTTCATCATTTCTTCTTAGGTTGCTTTTCTTCAATAGCGTAAGATCATAATACTGCTCTATAGGCACACCGCTGAAAGACAATCAGATTACTGTTGTTACTTAAGAAAAATGAGGAATTACACATTGTAAACCGGAAGTATTGATGTAAGGATTGAAACAAAAACAAGAAACCCAATTGTTCCTCACAGGAAAACGACTGTGACAAAGAGTAAGAATATTCAGATGGGGAAAATAAGCAACTTTTGCATAACTTTGTGAAGAAATGTGCGCGGTAGATTGCGAGAAAAAAGATCCCGCGGATTTCTATCCATAGACTCATTTCATTCTACAACAATTGAGTCGAACAAGAGGTCAACCACCATATTAATAAAGAGAAGTGACTTTCATTTTCCCTAATTTTTCTTTTTTCTTTTGGCTTGTGCCAGCCAGTTGGGCTAAATTTCCAAGGACGATTCAAGGTTCCCTACATAGTGCATGCTCATTCATCAAAGACCAACTTAATTTAATTTAATTTAGTCCATTTTCACTGCATTAAGTTTTTGCAGTGGGGAAGGACTAGAAAGGAA